CGCTAAGTTGCCGTTTCGTCGTTGGAATAGAGTTACGCGGCAGCATATTGGGGCTGCGAGCCACCGTCCAAAAGCAACTTAAATTGTCAACAGCAATGCAAAGAAGTCTGTTATTGCTCAGAGCTTGCTTTTTGAAGAATTAACAAGTGATACAGTACGTTAAGAAGGCAGCTGTATTCTTGAAACGGAGTGTTTCGAGGCAACTACCCGGAATCATTCAGTATTTTCTGAGGTCTGCTTGAGTTGTTTTCTATACCATCGACACAGACCACCGTGGCAGACGCAACGATGCTGCACTGAAACTTTCCGCCCCGAAAACATGGGATAGCTCACCCCGATCGTGTGCAATAAGACCACGCACTTATAACTTCCCACCGCCCAGCCGGCCGCCCGGCAGATGTCGTGGCGCGCGGTGCCGATAAGGCGCTGCCGCCGCCGTGCGGCGTCGAATTCTCGCCCTTATTGACACCGGCCGGTCGGCGGGCGTAACATGGTCCTCTTTAAGCCGTTTGAGCAGCGCCTAGCAGTAATACTTTTCGGAAAAAAGGGTATCATTGGACTCAGAAAAGAATACCGCACCACATGAGCCATGAGCCCATATACTTTTCCAAAATTCGTTTTTTTTTTTTAACAACCCTACCCCACACTGACCTCTAAGGGCCCATGCTGGCCTGTATCTGTAAGGACCCGTCATTAGCCTTTGAGGGCATTGTACGGGATTCTGAAGACCTGATGCCGGCCTCTGAGGCCCATCTTTGTTTTTGAGGGTCTTCTGCTGGTCTCTGGGTCCAACACCGGCCCATGCTGGTATTTTAGGGTCCCACATTGACCTCTAAGGGTCCCGCACTGGATTCTGAAGATCCTATGCCGGTCTCTAAGGGTCCGCATCGGCCTCTGAGGGCCCACCTTGGCCTATGAGGGCCTTCCGCTGGTCTTTAGGTTCCAGGTCCCGCCCATGCCGGTCTGTTACGGCCCTACACTGACCTCTAAGGGCCCATGCTGGCCTGTAAGGGCCCGCATTAGCCTCTGAGGGCCTTGCACTGGATTCTGAAGACCCGATGCTGGCCTCTGAGGCCCATCTTGGTTTTTGAGGGCCTTCTGCTGGCCTCTGGGGTCCAACACCGGCCCATGCCGGCATTTTAGGGTCCCACACTGACCTCTGAGGGCCCATGCTGGCCTGTAAGGGCCCACATTAGCCTCTGATGGCCCAATTCGGCATCTAAATGTCTCATCCTGCCCTTTGCAGGCCCTGTACTGGTCTCTGAGGGCCTCAACCCTCACCGGCCGATGGGGGTGGGGGGTGCCGCCCCTCCATAGTTTTTTTTCGCGATAGCTCCGAACACGCCGGTGATAGAGAGCTGAAGCTTTGCATACCTGACCTTTGAATCAAGCCGGATCTTTTGACACCAACCGCATTTTCGGGTCAGATCAGGTCACTGACCCATGAGGTCATAAGTGAACCTCTGCACAGTCTTCAGATGTCGCAACTTCGCAACGCCCTCACTGCCAGAGGAGATTTCACAGGGAAATGAACCTTGGATGACCTAGTATCCATTAGGAGTCTCACAACTTGTACATCTCGGATTTTTCCTAAGGTCATTTTCGTGACCTCACCATTAGGTATAAGTCAATGGGGGATAAACTGAAAACTTTTTCTGGCGCCGTAAACGATCTTCAACTATCTCAAGCACACTGAATCTTTCATGCACTCCTTGCAAGGTTCGATGCGTCACTTTTGCCATGTTGACCTTGCGCGACGTCATTTATGAAGTTATAAGGGTCATATAAGTTTGTCGTCAATAACTACCGATCAAATTGAGCTAGCGAGTCGGGGAAGCCATCAATGGACTCAGGAAGACCTGCCGAATCGAATGATATGTGACATGACCTCCTTCGACCAATTTCGTGACCTGGGGGCGCTGACCTGACCGTGACTCGTGGTCAACACCCTCAGTTTACCTCACCCAAACAAAAAGTACATCATTCGACGCGCCTGAGAGAGGCGAACACGATGCTGGCAAAATCGCGGCTCTGCTGCCGTTTTTTGCGAAGTTATTCACCAAAAACGGAACCGTGCCTTGAGGCACTTGACCTGACCTCAGAGGTCACCGGTTGACCTAGAACCTTAAAATCGGGTATCGATCTCTGCGTCTTGTAACGGCGCACACGCTCGTTTTTCCGCGACGCGCTAGCTCAACCTGGGGCGCAACGGCGAGGGGGGTCGTACCCGCCCCCCGCCCCCTCGGCCGGCGCGTATGTAGAAAACCTATAGGTCCGGTCCGGCGAGGGTTAAACTGGCCTCTGATGGCCCAGACCGACCTCTAAAAGTCCCACACCGGCCTCTGATAGTCAATCAGCCCAGTTGCAGTGGTCGCTGATATAAAACCTTTTAAAAACGTTATAGGTCTGGCTGAGCCTAGCTAGGCCGTTCATGCTGATTTTTATAGGTATATTGAAAAGACTCGCTTTGCACGTTTCACGCTTGCTCGTAATGAAAAAGTTGCTGGATGCCTCTGGAATTTGCATGGGTGCCAACGGCTGCGGAGGACAGGGGAACGCGTCCATCAGTTTGAGTTTATGGACGGGAGTCTCCCTGAAATTTTACCCAATTTTGTTTTTGTTTTTGTCTCGATTTTTTTTTTATCTCTGATCATGTTTGCGAAAACAAAGTGGCCGAAATCCGAGGAGAAATCGGATTTTGGGGGTAGGCTAGGTTTTAGACCTCTGGGACCTTGGCCCCCCCACTTTCGAAAACGTTCCTACGCCTATGAAGCAGCGTGACTATTAGGCATAATATGTGGTGACAGCTATGGTCGTTCTGAGGAATTAACTGTCGATGGTTGCCACAGAGGCCTCGTGGGCACTAATGAATTCATGGAAAAACACTGTGTTGACGCTTTACGGCCAGTTGCTAAGTCATTGTGAGGTCGGAATCGAGTTGTTTATATGATCCTTGAACTTTGATCAATGGACAGCAGACACCATTCTAATTGGTTATTGGAAACCAGGATAGATTTCGCAGAAGGCGGGAATCGACTCCAATCCAGGAAAATCGAATTCCACCGCGCATCCTCGGCTCGGCCCCACATAATAATCACCATTCACGTTTAATAAACTTTCAACAAGACAAATTACCGACAACACGGTTACAACACCAAATGCTAGTACTGACTTCACGCGCCCGTCAGCGGCCCTTACTGTTCCTCGAGGACGATGGAGGCGTCCAGCCAGTCGCCTCCGATGCCTCCGTGCTCGGCCGGGGTATTGACCCCGAGGAGACCTTGCTCTCCGGCCTTCAGCCACACCTCGCGCGAAACCTGGCCGTCCTTCTCCCACCTGGAAAAACAGTGATTGTCAGAGCACTTGCCACTCATTGGTCATCCTGGAGGCAAGTGAGATGCAAAAAAAGTCAATCCATGCAAATATGAATAGAAATCTGTGGACATAGTAAAAAAAAAAAAACATTTCAGAGTCACCATGCAGAAGGTAAACTTACTGGCCATGGTATGGCTTCACTTCTTGTTCAAAGAACTTGCGGACTGACTCACGGAACATGTCATGATCTGAATTGAAGAGCGTCCTACCACCAATGTCGCTCAGCTTTGGCATCTGAGATGTAGCTGGACGGTATTCATCAAAACGCCTGAAAGAAATGTCACAGATGCACATCAATGCATGAAATAATAAACACAAATTTATCCATTAACTGTTTTTGCATCTACATCTTTATCACATGTTCCTAAAAAGTGCACCAGATCATGATAAACTACACCATCACAGATCACTTTCATCAGGTAGTTTCTTTTAACATGAAGCAGTCAGGAAGAGAAGACTAATAGATTGGGGACCTCACCAAACTCATAAACCTCATTATGGGATACAGGCTGCAATTTTGGAATTATAGTTGATATTAGCGAAAGTGAACAAACGCAACAATCATGATACCTCAGCACTAATCTGAACAAGTTAAGACTGCTTTTAATACTGGATTCAGGAAAGAATCCCAGTCATTTGAAGCCCTCAGCTATTTAGAATTGTACCTTTTTATATTATGTTGTAACTTTACAATTGAAACATAAATACCTACCTTTACAAGTAAAACAACTAAGAAAGGAAGATATCATTGACAAGACATAATTGACAGAAGTAGGGGAAGGGCTGAGTTGAATTGAATTTTATGACTGGGATTAGCCCCTCCATGACAGATTTCAGAAAAACAAGCACCAAAACACCAAAAATCACATACCTACCTACTTGCCTTATGCCTACAAACCCACCATGCCAAAAAAAACTTCAGTTACTGGAGAACTGGAATACCTTACAACCTGCCTTTGCCCTGTTTAAAAAGGCTACAACTTTGGCTCATGGAATAATTATTTGTGAAATGTGCCTATTATATAACACGTAAATTTCACGAATATGGCGCAGACTTACCTAGCACTCACTCCAAAGTTTCTCGCGTAAATATTTCCATTACCAGCCTGGATTAGAGTCTTTTGCCGCAAGAACGCAGCGGCAGTCCGAGCCGGCGTCCTGCAACAACCAACGAGACCCATATCGGCAATTAAAAGCACGGAAATGCGAATCACACCCAGCGCTTCCCACGGACACGAAGAGAAAGAGGCAACGGGAGAAAACGGAAGAGCCCCACCAAAGGATTTAGCTGAATTGGTAGCATTTTCTCGGCGAAATGTTGAAGGGATTGACTCAAAGAGATGATAAATTATTTTTTTTTGTCAAAGTAAAAAATGAAGAAGGCATTATTAAGATATCTATTGGGGATTTCTTGGCTTTTAAAAACTAGTTAGGCACCTAATATTCCAATTCGTGAAAATAACTAAAAAACTATTTTTGCTACTGAAAGGGAGAACCCTTCACTATGGTAAATAAATGGTAGCATTTTATAAAGCTGTAAGTGGCGCACGCGTTTCAAAATAAATCTTTCAAAGATCCACTGCAAGTCCACTGCATATACGAAGTTCTCCCGTGCATATACCACTGAACTCGCATATACTGATACTGCCTTGTGTCCACTGGGTCTTCTTGTTCATGTTCTTGTTGGATTAGGGCGCGTAGCTTCCACTGGGTCCACTGAACCAAGGCTCACTGAACCCAAATCACTGAACCAACCAATATACAATGCTTGGGGGATCGTATCAGTAAGGTGGGTATTTCAATTCAGGGGTATATAAACCAATTTCAATGTCAATTTCGATTTTCAAGTTTCAATTTCAGCAGTTTCTATACCTAGGTACTATGTGGAATAACGATAATTACTCAAGTTTATTGTAAAAAAACAAAGCTTTCGATACATGCAGTATCTTGATCACCATGTCAATGAGATGGAATATTGATATTTGAAAAATTCAGAAATAACTAAAACCAACACAAGCCATTATACAGAGAAGTGTGACTCCTGCTTTATGACTACCAGCAAATCTTTACTCAATTCTTCTACAATGCATGGGTTGTTTAATTGAAGTCTCAAGTCTGTTCAGTATTGGGATGGTATTGGGATTTGGGAACAGGGTTTCCTTTAGCATTTGTCTTTAGGGCATTGGGGGCTGATTGCAGGAAGCTGTATAATGAGTGCTCTCATTAAATATCCCATTTCAAGTAGGTTAACCTACTTGAAATGGGATATTTTGTTCAATGCAATTGAATTGACGTAAGGTGTCTGTCCATATTTCAGGCTGCCAAACTCTGTGTTGCAGCTTTCATCATGAAGTACAGTATTTGGTAAGATGGAATTCTGTATTAAACTGAACCCTACTGACTGCTGTGTCATTTTATGTCTTGTTTCTTCAACTTCTACTGCTATGTATGTTTTCAAATGTTTTGCAGAGTTACCTACCATTGTTACCAGAGAGAATGCATTGTGACCTAACATGTTGTACCTTTTTCAGCATGGTGTCAGATTTCTTCTATCCAAACAGTGGTGGGGTTGAGGCCCATGTGTTTCAGCTGTCTCAGTGCCTTTTGGCTATGGGTCACAAGGTCATTGTGGTCACACACAGCTATGGAAGCCGTGTTGGCATTCGCTACATGACCAGTGGCCTGAAGGTATGTCTGCTTTGCTCTGCACTGGCTGTGAAGCTGATTACAAATTTGAAATTGCTGAACTAAGGTCATGGGTGTGTGATGCAAAGTGGTTTGTTTGAATCAAATATAAAATGAAATGTTTATGTTGCACCTTTTGAAGGAGCAAAAGTATCATGAGATAACTCACAAATATGGTAAAAGTGACAACACATAAACTCATGTTTATGTGGCGAGCAATATCTACATTGTTACCCACCAAGGGGTTGTACTCCCACATGGACAGGTGTATTACTGCCCCTACAAGACGTTCTACAAGGGCTGCGTGCTGCCGACCATGCTGACCACCCTGCCTCTGCTGAGGAACATCTTCATCCGGGAGCAGGTGGACATCGTGCACGGTCACTCAGCATTCTCCACGCTGGCGCACGAGGCGATGCTGCACGCCGGCAGCATGGGTATCCGGGTAAGGAGATAGCGGCAGGTCGGTGGTGGGCTGGATCCGCACCGTACCGCGTCGGGTCACCATTTCGTGCAGTTCTAGTGAAACATGGCGTGAAACAACCATTACGCATAGCCGGGATTTAATTCTGACCATCGCTTATTTCCCCTCGTCTCGCATCTGTACTAATGCGCTGACTGACGTCGTCCCCCTCCCTTCCCAGACGGTGTTCACGGACCACTCGCTGTTCGGCTTCGCTGACACGTCGGCGATCGTCACCAACAACTTCCTCCAGGTCTCGCTGGCGCAGGTCGACCACTGCATTTGCGTCTCCTATACCGGGTATGAAACGCTGCATCGTGGATCGTGGTTACACTTACATCCGTAGTTGCTCTTTCGCTTAAACATTGTGTTGTGAAAATCTACGTAAGAGAACGTCCTCATTTTGCAAATGCTAGTCTAAAGTCATTGTTTGCATCTTGCCAAGGTTCCATTTTGTAAGGTAATTGTTGTGGTCCCGAGTGTGTCCCGCCTGACTTCAAAGCGCCAGTGTCCTTGTACATCATCACCACCACGCACGCTGTGTTTCAGGAAGGAAAACACGGTGCTACGAGCGAACGTGACCTCCCACCGAGTCTCCGTGATCCCAAACGCGGTGGACAGCGCCGCCTTCACGCCAGACCCTTCTCGCCGGAGCTCAGATAGGGTGAGTGGTGAGCGGGTGAGTGCGGTATCGTGGATTGTTGTAATACGTGAGCTGTGATATGTCATTTACTAGACAGTTGGTACATTTTTTATCGTTCCGAAACTGTTTACAGCAAGTGCATGTATCAAACTGCAGTAGACTATAGCCACGTTGTATAAAGTACCCTTCCCAGTTCCCATTCCGCCCTAGGAACGACCCGTCTATCTTGTGCTATCCCGTTTCGTGCGTATCACCCCGGATACATTGTTGCATTAAATGTGCGCGCCCTTGATGAAAGAGGTCTGAGGCTGTTCCACCTTACGATACGTCTATGAAATAGCCTTTTGAAGAAAAGCCTCGCTGTTTCATTGCGGATTATTTATTGAATACAACTCAGAGATAAACGGGAGAGCTGGCGGCGAGGCTGCGGCCGGGATAGAGAGGAATCAGTGCGCCGGCCGTTAGCAGCAGTAGTGTCAGTAGCGGAGAGCCGGGCGGGAGCGGCGGGCGGCCGCCCCCGCCCGGCGGCGGCGGCGGGCCGCGGCTGGCGTCCCGGCAGGACGCCCGGCGGGTCGGCGGGTCACGGGCCGCGGGGACGTCACCCTGCCGGCCTCAGTGCTCCATGGTCTGCGGCGAGTCGGGTCGCGGCTCGCGCTCCTCAGGAGCCGGCTCGTCGCGCAGCGGCGCCGGCTCGGCGGCCGGGGCGGCGCCGTGGCCGCCGCGGCGCTGGATGCCCTCCAGCTTGGCCAGGAAGGGCGCCACCTCCTCGTCCTCGTGGATGGTGAACTCCATGCCCTTGCCGACGACGGCCACCGTGCAGTTCTTGGTAGTGAGGTCCATGTCGTTGGGCAGCGTGTCGCGCAGCGCGAGCAGCGCGTGCGTGACGATCTCCTGCCAGGTGCAGTCGGGGAACTCGGCCAGGTGTTTCTCCAGATACGTACGCGCCGACTGCGAGCGGGCGCCGATCGCCATCGCCTTGCAGTCGAAGTAGTTGGCCGACGGGCAGGTCTGGTAGATGTGCGGCCCGGACTCGTCGTAGCCGGCCACCAGCAGGCCGACGCCGTACGGCCGGCTGCCGTCGCGCTGCGTGCACACCTGCATCTTGTTGCCGAGGTCGCTGATGAGCCGGCTGACGGGCAGCGGCCGGTCGTGCGCGTACTGCGCGTTCAGACACTCGGTGCGCATCCAGCGGCTGAGGATGCGCGCGTCGGCCGTCAGACCGGCGATCGACACGCCCACGTGCCCGTCAATCGGCATGATCTTCTTCTGGTGAGCGGACAGTTCGGAGGAGGCGCGCTTCAGCGCCACCAGCACGGCGTGCGTGCGGCACTTGAGGCCGACGGTGGCGGCGCCCTGCTTCACCGCCTCCATGGCGTACTCGACCTGGTGCAGCCGGCCCTGCGGGCTCCACACCGTCACGTCGTTGTCGTACTGGTTACGGAACATGGCTGCTGCTCAGGGAACCTGTAACATAGAAACAGAGTGTGAGACTCAGTCTAACGCTGAGCTGTGACCCCACAGATCACTGTCGTCATGGTGTCCCGACTGGTGTATCGGAAAGGAGCAGACCTGCTCGCCGGCCTGATCCCGCTGGCATGCCGCAAACACGACAAAGTAAGTCACTAGCCAGCATCATAGTCGATTGGTCGCTTATCAAAGGAACACATTGGGTCATTGCCTTACAGTTTTGGCCAAACGCTGAACAGTGTGGCTTTAGTGCATACTTCGATTAGTATCATTTCGTTTCGTTTCTATTTTCAACTACTTGTATATGTTGTTATTTAGCTGGGACATAATTAATGTGTAAAAAACGTCGTTTTGACACCAGCTATATAGTTTTATTGGGAGCTTTCGAGAGCACTTCGGCTCCCTTCTTCAGCCAAGTCAAACAAACACTAAAATACAGTAATACAAAACATTAATATATTAATGTTTTGTATTACTGTATTTTAGTGTTTGTTTGACTTGGCTGAAGAAGGGAGCCGAAGTGCTCTCGAAAGCTCCCAATAAAACTATATAGCTGGTGTCAAAACAACGTTTTTTACACATATTTTCAACTACCTATTTTCGTATACGACTGTCCATTGGTTTACAACATTCAGCTCAACAAGCTCTATTATTTTCAGCTGCATTTTTTGATCGGAGGCGACGGACCAAAACGGTCCATGCTTGAAGAAATGACTGAGAAGAATCAGCTGAGTGATCGGGTCACTTTCCTGGGCGAACTGAAACATTCTGAGGTAACTAAACGTGCGCAGGTCAGCGAGCGCAGTACATATTTGGGGCCCGCACGTTTTTTTTTTAAATGCTTCTAAGGGCCAAGCCAATGCAATGCTAGCAATGTTATCGTAAAACTTTGTGTTCACTGTTCACTACGACGGCTGTCCGCTGTCATGGCCGAATCAGTGGCCCACTGTCGCGCTCGCGCGACATGCAATGAACGCTTCCACATTGGTTTGTTTAAGGTGCGAGATGTGCTGGTGCAGGGCGACATCTACATCAACTGCTCGCTGACAGAGGCTTTCTGCATAGCCATTGTCGAGGCGGCCTCCTGCGGGTAAGCGGTGTTATTTCGAGATACGCTAAACAACTATTTATATTCCGATTATAAAATTTATTTATAGTATTTCTGACCTTCCAGCTGGCAACTGGCTTCGTGTAGCCTCCCAGCCGCTCCAGGTCGGCGTTTTAATTAAGGTTGAGTCACTGTATAGGATGACAGACAATGTATGTTAAAAATGTATCAAAGGACTGTTTCATTAAATGGCTGTTAAAATAAATGCCACAACTGACAGCAGCTTTGTGTTGCCCTCAGACTGCAGGTGGTGAGCACACGCGTCGGCGGGGTGCCGGAGGTCCTGCCTCCCGACCAGATCTGGCTCACCGAACCCACAGTCGAATGTGAGTGCCCACCGGCTCCGGAGGGGCGTGAACGGCTTGTTAATAGGGATCAGCTGTCAGGGGAACATAACTGATTAATAAACCGGATGAGAAATTGAAAACCTGCAGAACATCATGAATGTAAATGCGATTGTTATGAAGTACCCATTCGATGACAACACAACCTTAGAATGCCTCCATAATCCTACGTCACGACTCACGTTTTGTCTGCCAACAGCCCTTCTGTCCGGGCTGGACGCGGCCGTGGCGGAGGCCGGCCGGCCGAGCGCCCTGTCCGCCTGGGACCGGCACCGGCGCGTGGCCAGCATGTACCGCTGGCAGGAGGTGGCCGCCCGCACGCAGGACGTGTACGATATCGTGTGGCGGACGCCGCGGCGGGACCAGCGCAGCCAGACGATGAGGCAAGCGACTGAATGTTGTGTTACGGTTACTGATTCACACCCTTGCCGATAATAATGCGCCTCATTGTGATGAAATATATGTATACCAGTCGATGCCAGATGAGTTAGATATTTGACCGAGACAAGCGCCGACTTGTGTTTGCCAGTTCAGGCCTTGGTACCCAGTGGTTATTCACCCATTCCTGGCTGTTTTGCAGGTACTTGTCCTCGGGGCCACTCTCGGGAAAATTCATGATCGCTGTACTCTTCCTGCTTCGGCTGTATTCAGCATTCTTAGAATGGTTTCAGCCGAGAGAGGTGAGTTCAGTTCACAAATTTGAATCTCTTCTGCCGCATTTCCCCCGCCTACGATTGTTTTTTTTCGCACGTTTGGCTTTTGCGTCTATTTCTAGTCTCATCTGCTCATGAATAATATCGGATTATATACCTTTTTTAACTTTTAGAACACCATCGACCAGTATCCATGGATAACTAGAAAAAAAGATCCCACCGTATACCTTAGTAAGATGTAATATTCCGCCTTTTTCAGGACATCGAGCTAGCGGCGGACTGGCACCGGGGCTTTCGCAGCGCAAATCAACCGCTACAACATTGATTAGGCTGAAGAAGCTACAGTGTAGCAGCGCAACGTCGACTCGAGGGTTCAACATTCCAACGTTTTCCTTTTAGGAATGTGGCCGTGTTAGCTAATTGGATGAAACCTGATATATTTAGAGAACCACTGATAATTCCTCACATCAAACTAGAGGTACACGAGTTTGTCATACTACTAGTCAAAGTGTTCAAAATGTGTGTATTGTCATGGAGCAACCAGAAAAGTAGGAAACATTAGTGCTTTGCACTGTTAGCAGAAACAAGACTTGTGAACTGCCATCATGTTTGTTCTTGTTGCTTGAGAGTTGAGCAATATCAAGAAAGTGGGTATGATCTTACAACCTACTGACTGCTTGTTTACTTGCTATGTGCTATGGTTTACATTGACTTTGTCAGCAACTTTATAAATAAAATGCTCACTTTGTATTTGCAAGATCTGTTTTCTCATTGAAAATGTTGCCCTTTTATTACTCGTCAAATAAAAGGGCAAAAAGGGCAAGTCCTACCTTTGCAATATCTTCATTTAATATCAATGACTGGTTGAATATACTTTTTGTGTCCAAGGGACATATAATGAAGTGTTATAAGGATGCTGGCTTTTTTAAACTATATGTCAAATTAAATCCAAGTGTGCTGGATTCTGGAAATGGGCGCGATATAGCCTCGCAGCTGGTGCGCCCTGTCACTCCAAATCATCATCGTGCTGGATTCTGGCAAAATGTACACTTTATCAAATTTTGAAACTCATGAACATCATCCCCAACACATTTGCCTCATAAACAACCCAGTTTACAAAATTAGGTACTTTACTACCTAAACCACAATTTAGTCACTTCAGTCACAATAGCTCATGCTGTAAGCAACAATGCTCAACATCAGGTGTGAGCGCATATTAAATACAAGTGTGGGAAAGGTCAATCAATCCAAACTTAACTGGCCCAAAAAGTAGGTATTTGAAAAAGCTAAGTTGAAATCAATCATAGATAAAATGATGTGGTCACAACTCACATGTTACTACAATAAGAATGCCAAATGCAAGAGTAACCTGAGCTCTGTTCGCGCCCCATTTATTTATCAGCAGGCTGCGAGCATGCTGCTACTTCTTGGCTCCTCATTGGTCAAATTCAAGTGGTCTATTCGTTAGACCAATGAGAAGCCAAGAAGCGCCAGCAATAACTTCCTTGTATGGGGAAAAACGACAGCACGCTGATATAAAAACAGCAAATGAACCAAGCTCAGAACCTCATTCTGACCCATCCTTTCGGCCTTAGTAGAGCAGAACACAAATGTCACATGTAAGTTTTCCAACCGAGGAGAGGCGCTGTAGGTTTGTAGGTTGTAGGTAGGCTGGCAAATGTTTAGAGTTAGTTAGAGCTTAGAAAGAAGCAGCTCCAGGTACCTATAGCTCCTCTCCTCAGTTGGAAAACTTTCGTGTTAGTGGTTAAGGCAACGAGGTCATACTTGGCCAAGTTACAATGCTAATCGCATGCCAATGCCCTCAACATACAAACGTTGAAAAACTGACAATTTTGGCTAGACTTAAAAAAAAAACTGAATTGCAGTGATGGTCCAGCTTAGCAACGTAGTTCGCTTGGCTGGCGGCTACTGGGCCGCAATACGGCCTTGCTATGCAGGTCTGGTGGTGATCGAGAAAAGGAATAATGGATATTAATATACCATAATAATATTATCACAGACCAAGATTCTCACCTTTCCTGAATTGCCGGAAGAAACTTCTCACTCTTTGACGCGCGCGATGACTTGCCGGAAACTCGACGGGATTGTATGTATCTACCTCGCCATATTTGGCGCAGATTTATCAAATACTTTTAACAGCTTCTGAATCATTTCTGAATCCCTAAGAAGATGCCATGGAGGAGAGAAGATGCTAAAAGTATAAGAAGGGATGCTTGAAAATTGACTCTGGTTGAATTTATTAGCAACGTTTAATTTTCAATGGTTAAGATGATTGTGAAAATGACTAAAAAAAGAACAAAGTTCTGTGTTACCATGGCAACCAGATTGCCATGGCCCCAGACGTCAGCTGTTTTGATGAAATTTGGGAATTTGCGGGAATTTGCGCGTTTGGAGATTTGGAGTGGAATTGGAGTGGAATGTGGATTTGGAATTGATGAAGAATCGATAATCCCAAGACAATCTTGTATTGGGAGTTGACTGTAGTTTTTAATATGTCATCGAAAATGACATTTTGCGTGTTTTAGAACTGATACCGAAGCAACTATTGTGTGAGCGGTAAGGCTGAGGCACCGTCGTCCGTCATTATGTTTTTCATTCCTGATTCCCGTTCTCGCGTCAGCTTAAAGGGACCCTCCCACCTTCAAAAAAGTTAATGAATTAGCATGAAAGTGATGTCGCTCGATTCAGAAAGAGCAAAAACGAATATGTACCAAATTTCACCGAAAAATATTCACCGGTTTTCAAGATATAAGACTTTTACTTTTGTTTACTTTTTTTTTGGATATCCGCTGGTCCTAGCGACTTCATTTTGGAAGTGCGGCGTTCGCGGCAGATGCTGCGCGCAAAGCAGCATATACCACCGCGTGCTACAAAACGTTTTAGTCAAACATTTAAAAATCGTTAGAAATCTGCGCTGACGTCACACATTCAGAGGGGTATTCCTATGCATTAGCCCCTCTGAATCAAAATGCTGCAATTTTGAAATTCAATATTTCCGATTTAAGGCATTTCTCGATGTTGTGAGTGCCGAAACCGGTAATTGTGAGCCAGGGACCCCATTTTGGCTATCTCAATTCTCAACTCAAATGGGAGGGTCCCTTTAATGTTACGGCCACAGCGGGCCACGAGTGTAAAATCCAAGGCCCTATATACCTGGTAAAATCTAGGGCCTTGCTAGTTGCTAAAACAAAATACTTTTCAGTGGCCTGGCTAAAATCATAAGGGTGTTGGGCAACCACCCAAGTCGTTTGGTGTTCCAAGTGGTTCATAATTTCCATGCACTTCAACTTTCAAAAGTATAGTCGGTAAAAAAATGCATTTGACTGGCTTGGTGCCGGTCATGGTCAGTCACGGGCAAGGCCCTAAATACACGGGCATGGCTCGGCAGCCCTTCATATGCGGCCGCCCCGGCCGTATATTTATATTTGGACGGATGCAGGGCGCTATATAGTGTGTGTCGGAAGGGGAAGGGAACGGCGACGATCGCAGATCACGACTCGCGCCCAACACTTTCATTTCGCTGCAGTGCGATGTGTCAATTAAGGTGTTGACCGAGCCGGAGCTTGGCATTGAGCAGAGCTTGTCTATAGATAGACCCCGATCCATATACGTCCGATCGGGCAATCACAGGCAATCGGGATTCGGGAGAAGAATATACCCTGATTTGGATGGCCAATGGCCATCAAGGCCGGACCTCGCCCTCGCCGGCCGAGGTGGGGGGGGGGGGGGGGGGCGGGTGCCGCCATAGGGTTTTTTCGCGATAGCTCCGAGCACGCTGGCGATAGAAAGCTGAAACTTGGCATACCTGACCTTTGATTCAAGCCGGATCTTTTGCCACCAACCGCATTTTCGGGTCAGGTCAGGTCACTGACCTATGACGTCATCAGTGAACCTCTGCACGGTCTTCAGATGTCGCAACTTCGCAACGCCCTCACTGCCAGAGGAACTTTCATAGGGAAATGAAACTTGCAGGGTCTAGTATCCATTACGAGTCTCACAACTTGTATTCTCGGATTTTTCCTAAAGGTCATATGAGGTCAGGTCATTTTCGTGGCCTCACCATTATTTAAGTCAATGGGGAAAAATGAAAACTGCTATTCTGGCGCCGGGAACGATCTCCAACTATCTCAAGCACACAGAATCGTGATTTGATGCACTCCTTGCAAGGTTAGATGCGTCACATTTGCAATGTTGACCTTGCGTGACGTCATTTATGATGTCATCAAGGTCATATTAGTTTTTCGTCAATAACTCCCGATCAAATTGAGCTGACGAGTCGGGAAAGCCACCAATGGACTCAGGAAGACCTGCCGAATCGAATGATATGCGACATGACCTCTTTCGACCAACTTCGTGACCTGGGGGCGCTGACCTGCCCTTGACCTGGGGTCAACACCCTAAGTTGACCTGATCCAAACAAAAAGTATATCATTCGACGCGCCTGAGCGAGGCGAACACGATGCTGCCAAAATCGGCGCTCTGCGGCCGTTTTTTTGCGAAGTTATTCACCAAAAACTGAACCGTACCCTAGGGCACTTGACCTGACCGCAGAGGTCACCGGTTGACCTAGGACCTTAAAATCGGGTACCAATCTCTGCGTCTCGTAACGGCGCACACGCTCGTTTTTTCCGCGACGCGCTAGCTCCACCAGGGGCGAAACGGCGAGGGGGGTCGTACCCGCCCCCCCCCCCCCTCCCCTCGGCCGGCGCGTATGTGTAGAAGACCAATAGGTCCGGCGAGGGTTAAACTTACTTCAATTCGGCACTCACCGTGGCTTCCTCCACCAGCAACAGACCATTTCCGTTAGAAAGCTGCACATTTGACTTTTGAGCGCCGGAGCTCAAAAGTCAAATTCTTCTCTCCGCCCGGGTTCTCTTCACACTATATAGTCACTACCGGAAGTCCGATACTCTACCCACCGGCAACCAACTGAGCTTCGGAGTTCGGAACGGACATGAATGGAAACGTTGATAACTGATGCGAGCTCCAGTGATTCTGAAAATTTATTGTCTGGTCGATCATAAAACAAGGTATATCCAACACCGGGCTGGTTAGATAAAATTTTTAAAATTTTAACCTTTTCAGGCACCATGGAGGATGAAGTAATCGATGACTACCGGATCCTATGGTTATGCGAAATATCCAAAGCGCTGTTCGAAAGCATTGATGACCAGCCGAATGACGGCTCCGGCGCGGCTCCGACAATCAAATCTGATTTGTCCGTTTCAGCAGACGGAAACACGGTAAGCACTTGCTTTATTTTTCTTTTTAGCGAGCTCTATAGGTACTGGTAAATGCAATTAAAATGTTCTCTTTTCATTTTTTTCTTCATTTTTCTCAGGTTGACCTCTTCGAGCGTCCCAGTCATGAGGAGATGTTTGAAGCAATGTTGGTTCGGGACGAGGGTGCCGTGCGTCGGGCCTTGGACTGCTTTTTGGATCGGCCTATATCGTCACAGCCCGGCCACTCAATCATGCTCTACAAGGAGACCGAACATCGAGAAGAAACACTGGAGGTGCAGCTTGAGCCCCAAGGTGTGATTATGGTAAAAGGCTACAGTGAAAAGAATGTGTATTTCTCGTATTTGTGGACATTACCAGTGTCAGTTTCGTCGTTCACTGTTGTTCTGTTTGGTCAGACGAGCCTGGAGCTACGGCCGGGGACCAGCAGACCGAGACTGTGGGAAAGACCGCCTCGGCCGTCACCGCCAAGTCCCGGTCCGCTCTGCCAGAGGAG